GTAATGTATTCGATTCTGCACATGTCGTATGTACTTTGGATGTAGCGAAGGATTTTTCACGACTGATATGAGATTAAAGGAATAAAGATAGCTTTTGTATTAAAAATCTTGTACATTTTTTTCTTTCTGCGCGTTTTTTCACGTGCCACGTTCCCGTTTCCCGTTTCCGCTACACCTCGTTACATCATGTGGAAGGATTACGTAAACGTTCCTTCGTAAGTAATTCCGGTCACCAAGTATCATGGCGACATCAAATTACAAAAAGTATAAGTTTGTTTTTTAGATGTTTACATTGATGTACTATAAAGAATATCGCGACGTATAGAGTGCCATTTTAGCCAATCTAGCAGAATTTTATTAATAATAAATTGTACGTAAATATTCTATATTATTTTTTTAAGTCTTATAATTAATTGAAATCAAACAATTAATTTTCTCTTGTAAATTTTAATAGTAATAGAAAATAATAGTAATAGTAAATCTAAATAACTTTCGAAAAATGCGACTGGAAGATAACTAGAGCAAATGCAAGTAAAAAATACTATTAAATATTCGATCGAGATGAAAGCCTATAATTTATGGGTAAACAGGAGATTAGAAGATTATAAAAGTGAAGATATGGCATTACAATAATAGAGACAATAATGCAACTTTTAAATTTAACAATTTTATAACATTTATTACACAATGCTAGAATATATTCGTAAAATAAGATATCAGATATAAAAGTGTTTTAATATTGATGTATTTTTGTTGTCAATACTTAATTTGAAATCTTATATTATTACTGCTATTTATAACATACGTTGTAAGTAGAATTTAATAATTAGAATTATATATGAAAAGACATTTGCTTACATACATTATTTTATTTTATTCAAAACATATGTTCTTTTATTATTTAACGTCTAAATAATTAAGTATTATTCGAGGATGTTTACATCCAAATGGAAACATTAAATAATAATTATGTTTTATATATGCTTTGTATCTAATCAATATAGATAACAAAGACAAAATTTATATCTAAATTATTTGTGAAATTTAGCAAGAAAGTCTCTCTGTGGCTCCGGTCAAATAACAATTTTTATAAAAGTGATTGGCCGATCCGATTATGAGATTTAAATTTTCCTGCATATATTATTAAGTTATTGCGGCTATGAATTCTGCGTACAGAATAATTTTTTAGTAAATACAGAGATACAGCGATACATTTAACAGAAATATTTAAAATTCTAATTAGACAATGAAACATCTTTTTGAGTGGTAAGATACGATCGCCTAGCGTTACGCGTGTTCACGATTGTTAAGAGTAGAATAAGATATTTAAAAGTGTGATATGTAAACGATAGAACATTCGATTATAATGCAAAACCTTCAAAATATTTCGCTGCACCTTTAATAACCGCGAATGCGATTAATGATGAACGATAGTATTTTATTGTGCCTTTATATTTGCCAATGACCAGTGCGGGCATATATTTATTTTAATATTTTTAATAATTAATAACTCTTTTACTAATTTAAAAAATTGCAAAATAGTACAGATGTTTTTTGCTCGATTTAATTCGATTTAACTCCGGAGAGATATACCAATTAATTGTGAAATACCTTGTATTAATGTTTATACTTGAGCAAAGATTCATGTCTTTCTTTGACTTTTACAAAATGGTTTTGCTAAATATTTGGCCTGACATAGTTGATACAATTAGTAACGCGTACTGTGTGATATCGACCGGATGTAATGGACGCACAAAACGTAAGTTCAGGATCTGGAAACATTTGAAAACAGAAGATAATAAAATAAAATGTAAAAAGTGTAGTTCAATTTATCATAATCGCTTTGTAAAGGATCGGATAAAGGCGCACTTATACGATAAGCATAATGATATCTGATGATGAAGAAATATGGAAAATGAGACATTTTGATCCTAATTCGGTCTGGCGATATTTTACAAAAGACAAACCGTTCAGTGCGAAATGCAATCTTTGTGGGTCTGTACTATCTCATGCATATGACAAAGAAAAATTAGAAAAGCACTTTTTCAATTGTCATAGAGAAGAAACAATAAAGCTTCAAAATGAAATTAAAAATTTCTCTCAACATTTTACGCTCGATGAAAATGGTAAAACAATACATTGCTCTCATTGTAATGAAAATTTAAGTATATTTCTCGGAAGGAAAGATTTAAGCGATCATTTACTCGTAATTCCTAACATAAGTCTACCTTCAGAAACGGCTACAGATGAAGAAAATAAGACCGATGTAGCAATTCAAGTGACAACTGAAGATGAAAATGTTGGTACAAGTTCACAACAAGATGTTACACTTTTACAAGCTATAGAAAGGTAAAACCAATTATAAAATATAATAATGGTCAATGCTCCAAATATTATTTTCATTTTTCGCATAACTTATATACGAATAATTAAAAACTTTAGTCTTTACTGAATGTATGATAAAAAGTCTCGATAATTAAAAATTTTTATAAATATATAACAATATGAAGAATTAAGTACGGTAAAAATTGCTGCGAATAATTATTTACAATGTTATAGTTTAGAAAAAGTTATATAAAAAGTCAAATGTTTTTATTTATCTTTGTATCATTTTAGGAGAATAATCTCTCAAGTTAAATTAAATTTTAGAATAGCGTTACCTACAGTGATTTCAAAATGATAAAGTGTGACAAAGAAAATCACAATATTATATTTTTATGAGTCGAAGTCTATGGCTTATTATATTGGCCAATCTTGATTTTGAGAAACATTACTTTAAAATTCCAACTTTGGAATTTGACGAAAAATAAAAGTTTTTATTCCTGAAGATGACTCAGAGATTCTCAAAGAGAGAAATCATTTTTTTATATATCTTTCTCATATTATAATATATTATTAATAATTATTAATGCGCATTTCTTACCACACTTGACACATGTTTGCTATTTATTTATAACTGTTTTTATGTAGCTTATTTTTTATTTGTCAAAGCATTTATTCAAAGTATAGTCAGATATTTAATATTTATATTTTAATGAAATATTCTAACACATAGATATAATAAATGTACATCAGAATCAAATATTCTGATTTAATCAAATAAAATTCGATATTATACAGATCTAAATCTATAAGATTCGAATCGGAAAATTTAGAATCTAATAGATTTAATAGATTGAATACAAATCAGAAACAATAACAATCTCATAAAATCGTATTTTCTCTTAATAAATAAAATAATGCAGCCATATTATTGAAATTAGAAATGTTGTCTTATCAAATTTGTTTTTTATTTTGAATTGTCACTGTACTTATGATAAAATAGATATACAATGTAGATAATTATTTTTTCGTTCTTACAGAAAATTGTCTATTGATTTATAATTATATTTTTATTTATTTGACATGTACTATGGTTACATTATCAAGCCGTAGAATGTATATTATCAATTTTATTTTACACGTATATTTAAAATGACTTTATATCATATAACCAATATTATTATTAGAATATAGAACTTTTTTTATCATTTATATATTAGAATTCAACCTGATAATAATAAAAAGTTATTATTAATTAAAAATTAAGTTTCAATAATTCTACTTGATTTAATTGAAAATAAAAAATTTACTTGATTTAAAAAGTTATTATTAATTAAAAATTAAGTTTCAATAATTCTACTTGATTTAATTGAAAATAAAAAAAATCTCGATTTGCACATGTCTAATAATAAATGAAATATTTTCGGTTTATTACTATCAATAAGGTTTTGTGTGTGTGTGTG